TTTCATATCCAAATCATAGCCATCACCACAAACGGCACCACCTCACTTCATGTCTTCGGGCTCTTTAAACTCCTCTTATACCATGTGGTGCTTCATTTATTTCTACATGCTTCCTTCCCTGAGAGCTTTATTTGTCATTTATTTTAACCTGCCCTATGCACTTTTCTAGATAGATGTTTCCCCTCCAAATGGCCACGTCAGCAGTGATAAATCACCTTTATTCAAAAAACACAATTGCTCAATGTCTTGAAAGGGCCTTGGTTATGTGAAAGGATGCAGTACCCCCAATATTGTGGGGGTTTTATATAAACCAGCCCAATTTGATAGGAATGCAACTTTTGGATATGTCTTTATCATTAAAATGTTTAAAGAGGAGAAACAACAGCAGCTGCGCCAACCAGTGCTACACCAAGTATAGACAATAAGACAAAACACACACGTTAAATGTGTTAAAATTAGAAAAGCATGCAAATTAAGAAGAAAAAAAAACATCAGGAGGTGAAAATTTAATAAAAATTCAGAGCCCAAATTCTACAGTCGACACACAGCCTTTCTAGGGCAAAGGAACAAAGTTGCTTAATGTCTACACATACAAACTTATGTGTAGACATTAAGCAACTTTGTTCCTGTTGTTAAAAATGACCCAGAATCCCAATTTATAGTTCCAAATTGATAGAGCCAGCACAAGTCAAGCAGCTACATGACACGGAGCCCCAGGAAAGCCAAACTCTCTACAAAGTGGATGGAAATTATGTTTCGTTCTCATGGTTTGCTGAGTGCCACTGACTAGAATCTATTATCATGATTCCTCTATGTGCATAATGAAATGATAATCAAAATAATGTATTAATTTGCCCATCCTGATGAGCTCCTCTCATTTATCAAGGCTTGGAACTAGCACAAATAGGACAGAGCCCTTAAATTCTATTCTTTAGATAATTCATTACTGCTTGAGTGGCGTTTTAAAAACAGAGCAGTAGGCTGTCATCAACAACAGGGAAAGGTAAAATGACACTCAAAGCAACAAGAGAAATGTTGAGGTTATTTATGATGATGTGAGGCAACACAGTTACTGGCTGTCTCGCAGCATAACAGCAGCCAGGTGGATTGTTTTCTTGACAGACAAGGTGACAATCCAGCTTCAGTTTGTGTCAACAAGAGTGCAGCAGTCACCGCCATCTGACAAAAGGGGTTAACACCTCTGTCCATCCGCTGTGCTGCTGTCTGATCTCAGGAGGGCCATCGTCTTTCATCATGTAAAATGGAGCAGTACCCTGGGCCCAAAATCAGACAAACTTGGCACCTCTCATATTCAGCCCATTACACAACTCTGTCACAGTGGCTTAGATTAAGAGCGAATCAACAGCACAGTCTCTCGACTCATTAGTTTCACCAGTGTCAGATTCAGGGCTTGCTACCTATGCAACAATAATGGCAAGGCCATAAGCATTAAAATGATTGTGTTGTGACTGTATGTAACATATGAGGAGTTTTAAAGGTTTGTTTTTGTTACTTTTCATAAATTTGGCTTTCAAAAGAAATAGGAATAAAACTGTGTGAGTATAGTATAACTGTACATCACCACGACTAGGCAGTGGAGTATCAGAGCATGTAATGCCTTCAAAGAACCAGAAGTAGACTTTATTTTTGGCAAAGATGTCGACTATGCCTTGAAAAGAATAATTCTCAATTTAGATGCAATTTCAACATGTTATAACTTAATTTGCCTCATGAATGCAAAAGAAAACCGTAACACACAACACTTTCTCCTCTGGGTATTAGGATAATGCAGTGATGACAAAGAATACTTTTATCTCAAAAAGTTTACTGCTCAGCTCATCTTTGAAATCTAAGCTAGTCTTTCTTAGATGTCAAATTTTAGCTAAACATAACCCCTTAGAAAATAAAGAAAATATTTAAGCAAAAAGTAAGTTCACATGCAGACATAATCTGAAAAAGGTCCCAAATTATCAATTTTGTTCTTCTGTAATGTAAGACTTTCGAGTGTGTGTCAAGACAGAAAGACTTCAGCAACAACCATAAAGAAGCAATGTTTCCTGCCCATCCAAATCATCTACAGAACACTTTCTAGTCTTGTCCAAAGCAACTCTAAATGTATGAATGTAACTGTTTGGATTTTATCGATTTGTTTATATTTGGCATCTTGGCTTTTTTTTCCATCCACACTTCAATTTGTTCATTAATCCACATCTAGTCTTTGTAAGTCTTTGGTCAGTTCAACGCTGTTGTTTGGATATATGTTTTCTCCTCTTACTGATTTCTTACATTTTTTCCATCTGGAATATTCTGTCTCTTTTTTTTACTCATTTCATTGTAATGTTCTCTTGTTTGTGAACCCCCTTAACTCCGGCCTTTAAAGAATTCTGCTAAAATATTAATGTATAAAATAATTGCAGCGTTGTTACAAGTTTTATTACATCTACTCATAATTAATTTTGGATAACAAAGTACCCGAAATTGGCAACTTTTTCATTGTGACTAACATCCTTAAAAAATACTTGATTTGTTTACATTTTCTATTAATTTTAATGAATAAAAAATGGAAACAAATTATGACAGCTTAACTGGTGCAAAACAATATTTTTTGCTGCAAAGCGATGGTTAAAGCTGTTTCTTGATCATGCGGGTAAACATCCACTAAAGACCGAAACACGATGGGAGGCATATGGTCCTTAAGTCGATTTATTTACTGTTGACTGAACCTGCAAAGAATGAAACGGCAAGAAAAACTTGGTAAATAGGACATCATCTGTGCTAAAGAATAATGGTGATGACATCTTCAAGGATATACTGTTGCGGCCACTGGGTGGCCTGCATTGACCTGGAGTGCCACCCTCCCCAGGGTGTGTTCTAGCAGGGCTAATCTCCACCGGTTTCCAATTGCTGCAATAAGGAGGCAGTTTTAGAGGGTTGGTTAATTTCCAAGCAGTTGGTAACTTACCAGTTAGCCCCACAGCTCCATGGAGTATCCTTCATACAAGTGAGAAAACTAAACCTTTTGTCTTCCATCAACCTTCACCGTTTCCTCAAAGTCCTCCTTGCAGTTTCTGGATTCCTCCCTGGATTATTCACCTGCCCGTCCACCCTCAATCACCTTCTGGATCAGGATCTACGTTCCTCCTGCTGTTTACTCCCACCGTTCTCGCACCTCCACGCCGGTCATCTCTCTCTGAGTGAAAATAAAACTTTCATCTTCACTCCGTCTGGCTATAGTGATTTGTGCCTGCAGTCAGTCCTTCGATAATGAAATGACAATGCCATCCATGTTCCATCCATGTTTATGCGTTATTCAAGAAAATACTGCATCTACTTGCTGTTTTCCTAGTATTACATAAAGAAATTAAAAGTATCTGGCCTTAGCATATTTAGATACTTTTATAGTACTCTGTAAAATATAGTGCATCTATGTAATACGGTATTGTTGTATAGATTCTCACAGCATGGTGGCATCATCACTGCTTGAACAGCAGCTTTCTAATTAATTAATCGTGGTTATACCTCCATACTACACATGCATTTTCTCTAATAATTCAAAGTTTTGTCAAAACATGTATTCCCTGAGCGGCACAACTTCAACTACTACGATGACCTGTTTACTTAACCATTAGAGGTGGTAATGCCTTAATATCACATATATTGAATTAGCATGGTGTTCTGCTCTTTCATCATATCATTGTAATCATTGCCATGGTGTGACTAATCTTAGCATTTTGCTGTGCTGTGTATGAATTACTGAACCTCAACTCAGCCTTTAGTTGAAAATGTATCCCACAGATCAGTTGTGGTATCAAAATAAAATCCACAAGTGCCTTAGTGTTTTTATGCAATACATAAACTGAAAGATACCTTAAAACATAACCAGTGAATAGACGTTAATGTCTGTAAATAACCTCTAAAAGCCCTTTCTACTTCAATACCATTGCAATATTTGCTAGCTCAAAAGCAACATTAATTCCGTCATTGGTTTTAGCTGCTGTTGAATTCTTCCTCCTTGAAATATTCGTATGAGATAGACAAACCATGACATGAGCCTGTGCTCTGTGAATGGCTGCTTGAAACATGACTACATTCTTGGTTGCCTGGCGATGTCATATGTGAGCACAATTAAGCCTAATGTTACCATTTTTATGTTGTCTGCTGTAATATTACAGCAGATTGTTGTGAGCTTTCCTCCTCTGATTGCACAGAGTTAGGAGTTAGCCTGCAGACAACAATTCACTCTGGATCTCACTAGTTGTGAGAATGCCTACTGGCATTCTCACTAATGTTTTCCTGTTTCACTTCTTCTGCGTCTAACTACGCCCAACAAATAAGGTATCAAATGTTCAGATCCTTCTGCACAATGCAGCTATGACTTCTGGTGTTCAAATCTTTTCAAGTTATTTAATTTTTCATGCTTTTATTTTCTTTCATTGAAATGGAGTCAAAAGCATGGCTTCATCTGCTGGTCACTGGCATTTCAGCACCTTTAAATTGTTCTTATTTAATCCTATGCAACCTTTCAGACAGGGGTATAGCTTAATGGAAGAGTGTTTGATTCCAGTTTTAGAAGTCACCAGTTCAAATCCCGTTAAAGTCTTTTGTTCTTCTTATCCTTTTGCAGTTCTTCTTCAACTCTTCCGTTCTATGTCTTTTTCAGCTTTTCTTTGGCTTTTTTTTCTTCTTGACATTCAGCACTTGGCATTCTCAAAGCTCTTCCACAGGAAAAGCCTTTTTTTTGTTATTTTTGCAACAGCCTCTTAACCCTAAAAATACTTCCTAGTCCAAACACTCATGTAACTGATAGTAACACCTTGCTGGTTTTCTTTTGTCTTGTTCACAGTAAATACATACACCTAATCTACAGCTGATGCATACATTTTAGAATGAATGCACGCTGGTTCTAAAGAATACCATTTCAATTGGTTTGAGCGCAGAAGAGTGAACACAGAGCACACTCTGGTGGGGAAAACATTGAGACAACACCCTTTTTTTTTTTTTTTTAATCTGATATTAAAACACATTACAAATTCAGTATGCAAATCCCCTCATTTGTTAAATTATTGGAAAAGCACAATCTTTGAACTGTTTTTTGTTGGTGTGAGCTATAACAAACAGCTTAAATTAATCCATATTTGCACCTGAAAGCAGGCCCACCTCTAGATCTTGAAAACAAATAAATACATAGCTACTTTACAAATGTAAAATACAGGCAAATTTGACATTAAGCATGTCCATTTGTTTATATCCTAACTGAAACAACCAGCTTATTAGCTCAAGCTGTCTATGATACTGAGGAAAATTTGAAAAAATAAACAGTGAAGAGAGAGGAAAAACTGCATAAAATAAGTAACCATTAGGAACAGGTGAAGAAGAGAAGCTCCAATGATCCAATGAGAAGTTCAGTCCGTTCCACGCAGCAGATAAACACTTGGCTGGCCCAACGGCAAGGCCGCCTTCTGCAGAAATATTAACGTCATCCCGTTGTCCTAAAAGGTTGTCACACAGTGCAAAAAACAACAACAAAAAAAACAGCCTGGATGTTACACTAAAACACAACAAACAGTGCAATTAATCCCAGCCTCAGGCCATGTCAACACTGTTACCGGTAATGAGTTTGGGGGACAGCAGAGGAAGAGGTGTGAACTGACCAATGATCAACACCACCATCAGCCGGCTTTAAATTGACCGTGTCTTCACTTTGCTCATGGGGGCATCTGAATTTTTCTGGAAACAGTGGACCTTCCATTGTTTGTACACATGCCAACATCTGGGAGACATGTATGGACATGTTCTGCATGTCCTTGCTACAAACACATGATGGCTATTTCCTCACAATAAGTATTGAAGATAATTTGTTTATTTCGCCAATCATAGTTAAAAAACAACTAACACAGGAATTTGTTGGCTACGAAAGGCCATTTTAGAAAAATAAAACTAACTAACAACTTGCTGTGTTTTGAGTTGAGTTTGAGGCTGTGGGAAATGAATGCAACTAGAACCAAATAAGTGGTTGATGCCAGTTTTGATCAGCTGTTTAGTGCTTAGCTTATAGGGTTTAGTTACCCTGAAAGTTTGTTCACAGAACTGTCTGATCAAGCCAAAACAGCTTGTAAAAGTAAGTCACAAGTCAGTCTCATTTTTCATGTACAAAACCTATTTAAGGATGCTCTGAGACAAGCACATACAAACACACGCCAGTACTGAAAAATGGCCGCTCTAGTGCTTGGTCTTAGGCTGAAGCTATTTGGGGGATTTGGCTATTGCGAGTATTTACAGTCGTATGAGTGTGAGATACCTCAGTCCAGGAGTTTCTACCTGCTGTGCTGGGGAAAACAAAAAGAGGTTTCATTTGACCTTATTTTCATCCTGAGTATTGTCCTCTATCACCATGATATGTACTCCTGAAAGCTGCCCACTGGCATCCAGCTGTAGCCCTTGAACCCCCTCAGTCTGTGCCTGCTGCATTTGGCACTGCGTCTCCTCCGCCATAGTAACCTCCATCCCGCTCTGGACCACCATTGCAGTCCCATCTCTGTCTGACTCCCCGGTCAGCTGCAGCTCCATTACTCCAACCGCCTGCTCCACAGGACTCGGATTGATCTCAATGACGGTGTGCTCCTGGCCAGCCTCTACCTCCCCTTGCATGACCTGCTGCTGCACCAGCATGGTGCCATCCACCATCTGGCCTTCTATGGGTACTACCTCGGCCCCCCCGGCCTGCTGGCTGAGGTGTACCAGCTCCACAGGGCTCACCATGGTGCCCAGCTGGCTGGAGTCCTGAACGGTGGTGGTGCCCACCAACGTGAGTCCTGACGATGGGTGCAAGGTAATGGTGTCCGCCTTTCCATCTCCAGCGACCATGTAGCGGGTGAAGAGCTGTGAACCTGCAGGAAGCAGGGTCACGGTGTTGGAGGACTGGGCCAGGGAGGCAATGGGAAGCCCTGCCACTGTGAATGGCTGCCCCACAGAGGACAGCGAAATGGGGGAGAGAACAGTGAATTGCTGGGGCTGCAGTGCCGCCTGCTGGCTAATGGGTGATGTCAGGAGGGTGGTGGTGGAGGCAGGTCTCTGGAGACGAGGCCGCTTGGTTGTCCGTTTGTTTGGAGTTTTGGTTTTGGTAGTCTGCGAACAGGAGAGAATAGCTCGAACCTGCTGCTGCTTCTTCTGTTCTTCCAACTGATCTTCCAGGTCTACAGGGACAACAGAAAAACAGAAAAAGAGCAGTGTTGGTCAGCAATGTCTCACACTTATAAGTCACCTCCCTCTGTCACAATTATTACAAATTCATCATCTTGTCATCTTCTGGTCAGTTTGGCCCCTTTTCAAAATGACCTTTAACTTCTTCCATATAACTGCCTGAAAATGACACAGATAGCTCTAACTATGCTAAACTTAGTATATAAAGCTGTCTGTGATAGTACATCATCATATGTGCCTCTGATCAAAATTCAGAGGCACAATTATCAGTCAAAATTAATTTACGTCCTGTTATTTTTAATGGGGGAAAAAAGACACAATGAATTACAAATGAGCTATATTATTCCAAAGAAAAATTAACAAGCTGGGAAGAAGTAGACTAAAAGATGTAAGAATTGTGCAATAATTATAAGGTTGGTGCTTTACAAATCACAACATCCATCTGTGATATAAGGCGCGAATTTAAAGCACGAGGAAAGGTGTTACTTTTTTCTGCCATTAAGAAATATCAAAATAATGTAAATTAATATCTTGAAATAAATAAACTCTGTATTAAGCCAGTCAGTGCTTTCATCCACTTGTGTGGATGAAAGCTTGATCATAACCACAGTACAAAATAAATCAGAATTTTTGCCTCTTCTAAAAATGAAGATTAATCTTAAGTTAAGGAAGTGTATAAGACCATAAATTTAAAAAAATAAGAGTAAAATATATGTTCAAGTGTTGGAAACAAGAAATACAAAAAAAGTAATAATTTTATACTTTTTACATTCTGAGCAATAAACACACAATTTGTCAATTTGACCCAGGAAGACAACAACAGTGAATGGAATGAAAATGGGAATGGGAAGACAACACAAAGATAAATGTAGACATTCATACCCTCGCTGTTTCTAACTCTTATGTCATTGATGTGGCTGATTATCAGGATTTAAGATATGAAACTGTGAGATCATGTCTTGTAAAGTTTGCAAGAATTGCCTGGGGAGACAGAGGAAGCTTTAGTCTCTGAAATATATTCTCTAGGTGTCCTTCAATTACATTTAATTGTAGCATCTTATATTTGCTGCCTTTTCCAAAGAGTGTGGGTTGACACTATGAAAGAGCCCGCGCAGGAAAAAGCTCACATTTTATTCAACAAATTAAAAAAAATAAACAGCATTTAAAACGGCAATAATTTTAATGATTGCTATTAAATAAGCAGACAGGAGCAATTAAATAGTTTAAGAGTTCTATGACTGTCACATTTTACAGCTTTTCCCTTTTTTCATCTTAGTCTGAGTGGTTGTGCTTTCATTTGCTGTATCTCTGAACTTCTTTGAATATAAAGTAAGCTAAAAATATGGAGACCTGATGAGCCTGAACCGAATTAGAATTTACCTCAGCTCTTTTGAAGATCAGGCTTTGCATCTAGTGACTAGTGACTCTAGGTATTGTAAATATCAACAGTATACATCTAAGATTTTGTCTATTTTTCCCTTTTTAGAATAAAAGTATTTGTGATCTTTATTATTATCATCATGAAGTGAAAAAGGAAAGAATGAACTTCACAGGAAATGGTCGTTTTCCCCTGGAAAGGTAAACCTTTGAATTATTGACTCTTAGCTGCAATATTGAATGTTAAAATCTTAGAAAAGCTGCAGCACGACTTAGTGGGGACACATATGTGGTGAAAAATGAGTGATAATGAATAAGTTACATACAACACAATGTAACAGACAAACACAGCAGTTTATTTTAAAAAAACTCAATTTTTCTGCAGACAAGAGTTCAACAAACTCAAATGTTAGGATCCATATCTAATTATGTCTTTTACAGGACAAAACTACTAAAATTACTTTGAAACCCATCTCTGTTTCTGATGCTCTTTGTTTTGGCTCTGCTACTCACTACCAATCATGCTGAGGATCTCCTCCTGGCTGGGGTCCGTCAACTGCCGCCTCCGCTCCAGGATCTTTTTGACTGAGTCCAGTAGACTGAAGACCTGGGCAATGTTGCTGAGTACCGCCACCTCTACCAGACAGGAATCTGGGATCAGTGTGGCAACCAATCAAAAGGTCAGAAAGAAAGGAGGAACAAATTTAGCTGCCGTAAAATCATATCTCAACATTGTTGTTCCTTTCAACAGCAGCTCACTTTGCTCTTCCTTTCATTCACATCTCTCTACCTGTGTCCTGTAAGGTGGCCTGCTCCCTGCGCTGCAGCACACCGTTAAGCAGTTGCATCAGCTCCGTGTTGATGTTGGTCACAACCTCGCCCAGTAAACCCACATCGGCAATGCCCTTCCAGAAGTTCAGTGCATCCTCTGCAAAGCAAAAGCAACAGAGGCAGGCTTAATCTTACTTGCCCCTTGCCAAAGACAGCAGTTGATACATATTTCTTTGTGCATTCTCTGAAACCTGAGATCTCATTGGAGGCCTTCTTGTCTGTGGATTCCAGCGAGCCCGAGCTCCATTCCAACTTCCCACCCAGTATCTCGGGTCGATCCTCACTTGCTGAACCGCCATTGCCCAGGACAGCCTGAGCTGCAGTCAACAGAGGAAAGCATACATGAGGCTTGTGATTTGGGTGAGAAAATCTTGATTAAATAAACAAGGGGTGCCCAGCCCAAAGAAGCGAACTAATTGTGGTCAAACTGACTCTCCTTAAAATGGCTCCATTACTAGTAACGTCATTCTTCCCGTTTCAGAAAAGTTACAACCTCCATCCTAAATTTTAAAAAAAATCAAATTTAAAAGGATTTTTTCTCATGTATATGACAAATAACATTTTAGACATTGTTAAATGAATTATCCTAATTTATAAGCAGGTGTTGTTCTTCACCGTTTTGTGGAAACAGATCAGTTAAAACAGATTATGCCTCCGGTGCATTTTGTACCAAAGAATTAAGATCTTCTACAGTTCTCAACAGCTTACAAAGCGTCATGTCATGTGTTTATATGGTTTATAGGGTTTAACAGAACTTAATCAAACCATGCTAACTAGCTCACGGCTTTACTGCTGCCTAAGTAAGCTGTGAAAAGCACTGGCTAACTCACCCTGTGAGGACATGGGTGTAGAGAGCCCACTGCCGTCAGGAGGAAAGCGAGTGTTGTTGATCAAAAGGTCAAACTTGGTGCTGCGACAAGTGTTGGTGCACAGTGTGCTGTGTTGGTAAAAGTCCAGCTGACCCGAATCCATCATTTTTCTGTGTACAAGATATAAAGGCGACAAAACAACAAATAAAAACCCACGCCTCCATGCAATGAGCACACATGATAACTTACACGTGGGAAGAGAACATGGCTCTTGGCATAATAAATCTCCTCACCTCAGCATGACTCCCCCCATCCTGATGGCTCTCTTCCAGTCTTTCAGGGTGGCTTTGCCAGAAATGTGCACAAACTGTTTTGGACTGATCAGCTGATCTTCGTACTACAAGGAAAAAAAGTTAACATGAAGTCAACAAGAAAAAAGAACACAACCCAGTACCATTTACTGCTAAAGATGGCTCGTGGCAGGAAAACTGTCTCATCTCCTGTGCAACGAACCACAAGAAAACCCAGTAAAACGTAAATTATTTTTTAAATTTGTTTCTGTCAAAGCAACAAGTTTGACCATGTTGCATGTAAGATAAATTCAAAGTAAAAAAAAAGTTTAAACTTAACTTCTTTCATTTTTTCTTTTTAAAGTGTCCGATCTAAACGATGTCCTTTTTGCTCCATGTCACAGTGTGCACTGCAGCTGCAAAGCGTATCCTGCTGCTATGAATCTTAGTCCTGGTAAAACCAGCAATTCTGAAAGTTTAACACTGTTAAATACTTTATGAAAACAGAGAACTTTGTTCTTTTTCATGAAGTTTTTATTACAAAAACTTTTTTCCCTCATACTTTTCATGGCAAGGCAAGTACTTGGTTCAATAGACACATGAGATGGACGATGAGAGGCACTTTTCATATTTCAGGATGTCTACTGGTCCCTTTTACGATCCTGAATATGCCTTTTGGGGTATTTCTATATCTAAAGCATTGCAATAATGTTTCAAATCCTCATACAAGAATAAGGGTCAGCTGGTATATTGTCGCTGCAATATCCTTCTTTATCATCTCATGCTTGTGTTGCATACAAAGGCCACAGGTCTTATGGCCTGTTGTTCTGTTAGGAGCTCATTTGTATTGGAAAATGAAAGAAAAAAGTTGAATAACAAACAGTATGAACTCCACATTTCTCTGTGGGAGTAAAAGAAAAAAAATGATTGAAAGCTTTTAGGACACAACAATGAGTGTGGGTCTAACGGTGATGAATGAAATCCATTAATTTTTTGTGGATGAGGAGAAAAATAAATAAATAAAACATTGCAGTGTAATTCCATGATTCCTAACTCCTATCATTGCATTGGTGCAAGAAAGTGTTTTGTATTTTGCTTTTGAGCACTTTGTTGTAGTTTTCTGTGCTTAAAGGCACAGCTGGATTAGTTATAAAGGCTGAAACAGAGCACCTGCTATGCCCAATTCATTCATAGCTCTATATCTAAAGCATGAGCAAAACAATCTTCTGCAAAACGGAACATTTATCTTCATTAGTGTGTCATGTCAGAGAGATGTTGCTTCAGAAAAGTTGTTCACATTCTAAACATTTTTTAAATTACTGATTGCAGAAAGACTGAGCAGTGATTCAGTTTCAACTTGTAATTTCTTACATGTTTATTTAAAAGAAAAAGAAAATACTGACCTTCACACATTTTACATTGATTCCTGGACAGACAAATTTCTTTACGAGCAAGACAGCTTTACAGTCACCACATGTAATGGGACAGCCGATTTCCACATCATCTCCGTCTGTTTGCTCTAAAATACAGAATAGACACACAACATGTACACTTTAGGCAAGCTTTTTGCGTTCTAACCACTCAACCTCTGCATGACTTCATCTTTTAAGTTTGCTCAGACATCCTTTTACCTGGATGAGATTCGACAGTCATGACAGCTGCATCCGTTTCAGCCGATTCGTCCCTGAAAAGAAGACAGTAGACATTTTTACATTTTTGCAGGGAATACTCATAATGTTTGCCGTGGGTATTTTCTTTGCGCTGTTTAGTTTTGAAGCGGTCTGCATACCCAGAAGTGATTGGCTGGAGTTGGAGGATAACCTGAGTCTTGTTGGGGTCATCACAGTCACTGCCACCATCAGCCTTCACCATCACTACGTCCCCAACAGACACCGTGACCTCGTTGGCGGTGGCCATCACACTGAGAGGAGTTGACTAAGTTGGTCGGGGCACATTCATGCGACAGCTATGAATGAGGCGGTTCATCTGTAGAGCCAAAAATACACTTTAAGGAAAGTCTGATAAAAGTGTTTTAAAATACTCAACAATAAGCAGACTAGGGTTAGCTCGGGTTTCGAAAGTATTTTTGGGGTATCACAGTCTCAAATTTACTTTTAAAACCCAACCATTAGCATGTTTAAAGCTATTAACATTATAAATCAAAATAAAGCTAATGTATCGAGATTATATATTACTAATCAAAATGAAAATATTTTGGACATTGTTGGCATAAAAGAGGACAGGATGCCGCAGAAGATGTCAATGGGTAATCGTTTCCAAACTGCAGCTGGAATTGCTTGCCAGTTCAGTGCTGAACAGGGTTAGGATCTGTCTCATCATACAGCGTCTTGACGTTTAAGAGCATTCGGACCGAAAGCCCGCTTTGTAGTGACCAAACCTCTCATTAGCAGAAAAAATCAAAAGGCAAGACTAAACTTTGCTGAGGAGCATGTTGTGTGGACAGAGGAGAACCGGTCCAAAGTTTACTTCAGTGATGAAAACACGTTTAATTTATTTGGGTCCGATCTGAAACATTATGTTCAACGACAAACTGGAGAAAGACTGAGTGTGTAAAGAAGTCCGTGAAATTTGGAAGAGGAAGAGCTATGGTTTGGGGTGTGTTTTCTGCAGCAGGAGCTGGGCATCTTATACAGCTACATGGCAGAGTGAATGCAAATGTTTAAAAGAACCATCTTCAACAACATATGGCCCTTCCCTGCATTCATCACCCAATCAGCCATGCAGTGTTCATGCAGGACAATGCTCCATGCAAAACAGATTAGGCAGTTTCTTAAAACTGAAAACATTGAAATAATTATATGACCTGCCCAGTGTCCAATTCTCAACCCAATAAAGAACCTCTGGAAGATCCCTGGCAACAAAGTTATAGCCAATAGTCTAGAAAAAGCGGACAAAAATCACACCAGAGCAGTGTGAGACACGAGTGCTGTCATCTAAGCTGTCAGATAAGCTGAAGTAATTCAGAGCAGAGGCACGTACACTTGCTACTAATTGCCAACAGTTGTAACCTTCAGAAAATAAAATGTAATATTTTTCCATGCTAAAGCCACTGTTGTTCTTTAATTTCGATCTGAGTGTTTCTCTACTATGTCATATTTTTGTTGAAATGCCTTAGTTTTTTGTGTTCTGGTAGTATGGTATAAACACTACAAATGTCCATCAACTGCTGAGTGGTGAAGATTACAATATTTCAGAGAAAAGTTTTTTTTTAGCGACTGTTCTCTAATTTTGATCACCAGTTTATATATACATATATAATGTGTGCTACAATGCTTTTTCAAATTATGTAAACAGCATATGACCAAAGACGAGGAGCTTGTAGAGACGTCTGGATGTATTATGTTAGAACGTAAACCACAAGCAGGAATGCACATTTAAAACTTTCACATTTAAGGAGAGGGCAGAGGTGGTGTGGGTTTTAAGTTTTTTTTTCCCCATGCGTGCAAGGGAATGCACATCGCAGTTAGCTTAAATAACGTTGCTAACCAGGATAGTGAGCTCTTGTTTTCTCTTACTCTTGTATTTCTTGGTGCTGGCAATGTTATTCATCACAACGGGGTGCCGGCTGTTTTTCACTGAGATCCACTACGCTACCAGACTGGGGTTGGTGGTAGCCATTGCAGCTAACGTAAGGGCGTAACTTGATATGTGCAATTGCGGACAATATTGGACACTATACGGTCCGAAACGGGTAACGCTTTGCATTTAAATTGTGACGGCAACGTGCCGGTTGTCTATGAACCGTACGTCCCTTCGTAACTGTGCATTTTAACTCTCCGCTCCCCCTCAAAATGACGTCTCCCTGTGCGGCGGCACGTACAGCAAACAACGGCACGGCGACGGCGTTGCCCCTCCATTCTGTACGAGCCTGGCTGACTGAACCCCCTTCCGCAATATATTTATAAACAGACATATACAAACTCACCGGCTGAGATTACTCTTAGTGTCGAATGAAATATTTATACTACGCAGCAATGTATATACATAAAAAAAAGGCCTGTCCTTACCGTTTTATGAAGACAAACGCATCTCTAGATTGTAGAACTGGTGCGCATGCGTACTTGACTAATATAGGTTAACTTCCTGCTGAAGAGGGCTTGCTTTTTCCACGCTCTTACAATTGGGCGAAATGAGAGAAATCCACCTAAATATACAACAATACAAGCGTATATTTGACAATGAAATGCATTCAACACCTGCAAATTGCTCACTCATTAAATAGCTTTACTGATTTTTGCGTGCCTGCGTGCTTTAGTTGTTTTAGTGCGAGATGAGGATGGTTTTGCCTTTAAAATTGCTCACACAGGAACCGTAACACTGATCCAAACCTTCACTGTGTTACGTTATTATACTCTGATATCACGCTATTCTGAGTCGAACAACCCCATTTGGATAATGATCACACATACATGCGACAGTTCAGAGTGACCACATCTCCACGACATTTTCAATTTACATTATAAACGAGGCGCCAGTGTTTATGGCAGCCGGCAGCCTCAGTATTTAAAAAATTTTGCTTCCGAAATCTCTTGATGGCGATTCCGCGGCGCGGGTGAGTCAAAGCTCACCTACGCCGTATCATACATGATAGAAGCCCTTTTTAGCTTGGATCGAGGAGTGGGGCAGTATATAAAGACAAGTAGCAGGTTCCTAACTCAGAGTTTTACTTTTTTTTTTTTAAATTTCAGTAACTACCCCCTATTTTAATAGTTATCAAACTCTTATAATTATTTCTATCACAATATGTATATCGACGTGTCTTACTATAAAAACTTAGGTTTAACCGTGTGTCGATGTGAGCTTTTTTAACTGTGCGAAAAGCATGATGGGAAACCAAAGGCGGAGCAATGTAATGCCATTGGCTGCCTTTGTGCGCTGTTACCGTTGTCACTCATTGCTGCTTTCAGGTAATATTGGAAACTCAATAATTACTGGCAAAAATGAAAGAAAACAAAGTTGAGGTTAAAATGGGATTCGGTTGTTTTTCTAACTTCGACTATTTAAGTTAAAAAGTTCATTATTGAATCAGATTGTTTACTCTGGGATCCCCTGTTTTTAAAATGTAACTGTTTTATATTTCTCCTTCATTTGGAACATTTATAAGTAAGTACAACTTTTTGTTTAACAAACATCATAGCATAAATGAATGATTGTATTATCATTACATATATTATATGTACATAAGCTGTCACTGAAGTTGTGGTGTAGGCTACATTGGGTTATAAATAAAGGATATCACTCTTGGGAAAAATAATGAGAACATGGAAAAATCATAACACACAGCACCGGTTAGAAGTTTTCACCAACATTCATTCAAAATACATGTTAAAAACCTTTCTCCACTCCAATATAAACATATACCAATTACCTCCACAGGTTTCTTCAAAGATGTTGAACATACATCTGCTAGATTAATGTAATCAAGACTGTGAAAAATATTTTTTTCATTTTCACTTCAAAGAAATCAAAGATAATTATACTAAGCTTGAATTACAAAGGCTCCTGGTAAATAATAGCACAGGACTGACATCATAAGATATCTCTTTCAGAAAAGATAAAGGCATCAATTAATGTGCTGTGCAGCAAATTGACTCACAAACCTATCCAAATCTAATATATTTGGATGCTCTCCATCTATATTAAGTACACATTGATTGCTCCTCCTGTTTATTCATCATATTTTAATAAACAAATTATATTCATAATGATAATATTTCATGCTTGCGGACCACAAGGCAAAACAAAATGAATAAGACATCATAATTTTTTTTGCCTTATTGTTGTCCACAAGCATTAAGTATTTTTTTATTGTATTAATTGTCTATACTAGCTACAAACCCTAGTAGGGTTGCAAGTAGGGGGTGTGGGGGCATCCTAGTTGTCATTGGGTAACAGGGCACCAGTTCATCATAGGGCCACACCAAGACAAGCAATTTTGAATAAACAAATAATTGAACATGCATGCATGTTTTTTTACTGTTGGAGGAAGCCAGACAACTCACAAAAGAACCTACACGTATATGAAAAGAACATGCATCCTTTACACATGAAAGTCCCACGTCCCCCCTGGATTCTGACCATAAAATCCTTTTGCTATGTGGCAGTAATTTTAACCAACACACCACTGTGCTAACCCAGGAATTATCCATCCATTCATCTGTTACCGTTACCACTTATTCCCTAATAGGGTCGCACGGAGAACTGGAGCCTATTCCAGTGGTCAATGGGTGGGACGTGGGGTACAGCCTGGACAGTCCGCCAGTCCATCGCAGGGCACTCAGGAATTAAAAATAGAAAATTATTAAAAATTTTAACCCGTACCAAAAGGAGCATTGAATAAAAAAGAAACCAGGAACAACAAACACAAGTCACACATCTGGTTATATTCAGACAACTTGCTCTCACTGTATTTTATTTGTATGTTTGTTATTTTTACAGCAACCAATTTGGTTCACATTCCTTCCTCACTGTGATACAAGATGGAACTGATCCTTTTTTATACAAAGCAAAACCAAAGCAAGTGATAATTCATTGGACATTTATTTATTTATTTCTTTAACTAATTAGTCAAATCACATCAGTGAAAAGGCAATTCAATTCTACATCAAATATATCAAATTAGCAACAGTTCTTGAATAAGGCTGTGTAATGTATTTTGTAGTACAAGCCAAATGGCTGCTGAATTTAGCACATTTCACTTGAGGGAGTTTAAAAAAAGAGAAAAGAAATGAGTTTATATTATACTGTTGTTTCATAATCTAAAATGTTTGTATTTGCTTTCTTTCTTAACCATGACATATAACTCTCAAACTCAATGACAACACTTATCACTCAATATTTATCTTATTGAAACTCTCAATACAACTTTCGAAAATAATCTATTCTTATCCCTTTCTTGGCTTGTATGGGTGAACTGTGACTGTACACCAACAAATAGAACATGGATGAAATGTATGCTTTATGATTATACATACTTATTATGAGAAAAAATATATGTAAAATACAAATTTGACTACTATTAAGTTTTCTGCCTCTGGGTTAGAGTCAGTGTTAGTTCACACTTGAACGTACCTTGTAACATCATCTGAAATTAGCCATCTCAATTTAACAACCTTGCAAAGTATACGAATTAGCAGAAAAAGAGCAAAAAACGCCTTTTCTACGCCTTCTAAGTGATATTTCAGCTTTAGTTTGTCAAACTATAAAAACAATTTTTGCTGCTGAATCCTGTCTAATAATAAAAATAGCTGGGCTGAAATTTTGAAAGCTGTTCATTTCTTCAGTTTGAATTTAATTGTTCACTTGTATTCCATGAAATATATGAGCATACCTAAGCATTTTTTATGCTCTTTCCTGCATATTAAAGAGTTAAACCAAGAATTTACTTAAATTATTTAAGATTTTCACATCATAATTGACAATGATTTACATTGAGCTAATACACTCTCAATACTCACAAATGCATAAAATGAATCACAAATGCACAGAACAAGATTCACAACTATGCTGAACAATTCACAAATGACAGAACAAGACAAGTGCTATGTCAGGGAAGTCTTAAAATTCACAGACAAATGCAGCAAAACCCACAGACCAGAAGCAGTTTGTAAATCAAGATGTATTTGCGCTTGCATCAGAAACACATGTTAATCTTGTTCTGTGCATGTGTGAATCCTTCTGTGCATTTTAAAATCTTTTTTTGTGCATTTGTAAATCATCCTGTGCATTAGTCCCATGCACTTGTGAATATTGAGACTGCACTAGCTTCATATAAATCATACGAGTTTTAACTTTATAGATTTAGGCTTTTGGTATGAACATGTTTACTTGTTGTTTCACATAATGAATTCAAACTTCAGCTGTGTAACTTCAGACCTTCCCCTTGTTTGCTCACATCCAGCTGATTCTCTTAATATTTGGGGGGTAAAACATGATTGACATATTCTGAAATTCTGATTGATGTGAGTTCTTGAAGTGAGTGTTGTTAGGCTAGGCTAGTCACCTCCACTCTGTAAATAGCATGTAGACATGAGAATGATATCAATCGTTTTTCTCATGCTTAAGAGAGAAAGGGAGCAAGTACTCAGATTTCTGCAATTTCTTTCTTTTAACAACTGGACAAAGGTTAATTAGTACCAGAAGTCACTATGATTACTATCATCATCCCTCAGAGCAGTCACTGTTAACATAGTAAGATTAACAAAATGTGTCAATTGAATTTTTGGCATTTTTTTTAATACTGGCTTTTGAGGCATATAATAATACATCTGTTCTTCCCATAGATTTGATCTTTCAACGTGACATTTCTTCCTATTATATTTTTAACAATAATATTTAAACTAAAGTCTGCCATCTTAATGCGAAGTTAGGAACAGGAGTAATGCTCACTGGAGAACAGTTTCCTAACAGCACAGTATTAATATACAGTATCATACATTTCAACCCTCATACATAAGAGTGACAAGTGTGAAAGGTAACAGAGATGACATACCCTTACTGATTAATTTTAAAGGAGATACAGTAACATTTAAGTGTAAATGCCCCTCAACAACGTCTTTTTCTGCATGAAATAAAATACATACAAAAAATTGATTGTCACAAAAACAAAAGCATTTAGCGGATAAAGTGATCTTTATTTCAGCATAAAATGGTTTAATTAGAAATAAACTAATTTAATTATGTGCAAAAAATTTCAAATAAAGGGATGCTGCTGTTATCAAAATACATTCTTTACAATATATTTAGCTGAAACCAAAGATTGTACAATGTCTTTCCTGGATAATACATGAGTCAAAAAAGTAAAAACAAATACAAAGTCAAGCCTGCTGAATGCATAATATCCTGCTCCTGTGTGTGGAAAAGTGTTTTTGTGAGATGCAGGTGGCATTACTAAATGAGGTAAAATACTATACTACAAGTGGTCTGTTGTACACTACAAAGTTGATATCAGAAGATTATCAGTTTCGATGTTTAAAATTTCCCAATGAAAGAATTAATTTACTGCTTAGAAGACAGAAAAGAATTTAGAAGAAGCAGGTAAAACCTAAAAAATTACCTTCACTCCAGTGAAATGTTAGTTGCATTAATGGTGTTTAAGCATACGTCAGCTAACAGAAGATTCTGTTCAACTATTTTAAGAGAAGCTTTATTTTTTACCTTTAAGATTAATGTGAGTTAATATCTTCATAACAATTTTATAGAAATTAGAACAGCTAAATAGTGAGAAGAAATTAACGCCAGCTAGTTTGCATCTTCCTGACCCAGATAACGCAAATAAACATGTTTAAAGGAAACAACTGGAAAGAATTTCCGTTTAATATATTTGGGTATATCATGTTAAAACTAACTTGAAAAATCTAACATAAGACAACCCTGTGTGCCACTTAGTGAGCTATTCGGAGTTACACGTTTCTAATACTGTGATGTCAGGCTAACACTTGAGCTTGTGCTGTCAGTTGCATGGAATTAAATATCATTGCATTGACCCCAAATATATGAGCCCAGGGGAAAGATATACATTTTTGGAGGGCAATGGTTAGGCTTCCATAATCAAAAACCTATGCCATTTCTCTTCATACAACTTGTTAGGCTGCATTTGAAATAGGGATGTGTAGGTATTTGACAAATAATTTCGTACTTTGGCTATTTGGGAAGTTAAACCATTAGCATGCTAATTGAAATGTATATTCACAAAGCCGTTCATTGCGTGATATTCAGCTTGACTTGCTATGTAGTATGAGTTTCAGGCAAAAAAACTGTATGCTCATTCAAATATTTTTAAACATGGGCCATGACTTCAATTTGTTTTCAAATGTATATTTACATGCAAGAGCAACGCAGTACCATTTATATCAAAATACAGTCGATCGCATCTAAAACTGGTAACTGAAATAAAGAATATATTGCCACTATTGAGGTGCTATGGCACTTTTTCCAGTGGCAATGTGACAACATAATTAAAAAAATATTGCACTGCAACCTCAGAAAATGGCATAAAACACAATTTTGAACGTTACATGTCTCATTAATCATCATGGGATGTATCTTCATTTGTTCAATTTGGGCATAAAGGTAGAACTTTTTAGATTGTGACAATATAGCTAATTCTCCTTTGCGTTAAGATAGCATAAAACAGTGGGAAATTGTTGGACATACCTTTTTGTATCGTTATGGCTAAAGCTTAAACACATAACTTAATGAGCACAAATTGTCTTAGAGAATTTCATATTTTCAAAATAAAAGGACAGCCATTCAAGGGATGTTTTTATATCTTGATGCCAATTCCACATACATGAGACATTACATCTTTGTTTGCTTTTTAATTTGGTTTCACACCAGAGTTCTGATACTGATACATCATAAAGTCAGCCACACATACATGTATAAAAGTGGATTTTATGAGTAAGTGCTTCTCAGACTTCAGGTCTGTCACTGTATAGGATTGATCTTTTCACATAACCAATAGATGGCTATTGTATCTGTAAACAGCTGCAGGTTAAAGCCAAATTCCTTTCTTTCATTTTTATAGGTCTGATGACTGGGAGATGAACCTCTTGCTAACACGATATACCGTTATCTGAATGGGATATTCTAATTACAAAGATCTATCTTTGTGTATACCTTAACTACAAATATTTTCAATCTATAGACAATACTCATCTATTTACAAAATAATCAAATTCTACGTCAGTCTGGAGTGCAAATAGCTTACAAAGCAAGGGGGGGAGCACACGGATTGAATACGGTGACATTTGTGACATTTACTGATCTGTATATGTAAACACAACTAATTTGATAGCTTTCAATGACTTTTTAGATGTAATCCCTTTTTTTAGAATGTCAGAATGAGATAGACTGCAGATAAAGCATCGCAAAAACGCGAGTCTTCCTTTAAGTATTCCATTTGCTCCAGTACTGAGAAAATGGCCACATAGTATGCCCCAAAGCATGATCACACTGGCACAGTTCTTTCAAAAACCAAACAAGGAACACCTCAAGTCATGCTACCATTGATTACAAGAAACAACCTGCCGAGTTCATAGAGCAACCCAGACAGAGAAAGGACACAAATCACACAGTGAAGAACTGATGCGTGGTGATATCACAGGGTGCTAATCCTGAGTGATTTGGTTTCGATGGGTGGCTGTGAGACAAAGTGACCTCACAGTGGGATCGGAAAGTGTTTGGACACAAAGAGTTCTCAGTCAGCAGCGGCAGCCCTTCTCAGCAGATGCAGTGGCTAGTTCCTCGTCATCCTCACCTGGGTAGAGGACCTTGGCAGTGAGGCCACTTTTAACGCCGTCCCAGCCATCACGGGTAACGATCTCTCCCATCTTCATTAACTCGTAGATGTCTCTTGTTAGCAGCTCAAATGCCCGGTCCACGTTGCTGTTGCATTTCGCTGAAGTTTCAACGTAGCGAATGCCCAGGTCGGCGGCGAGCTGCTCCGCCTCGTCCCGACTCACCTTGCGATCCTTGTTGAGGTCACTTTTGTGGCCAATAAGGATGTAGACCATGTGATGAGGCAGGATATGCTCACTCACCTCCTTGTGCCATTCCCTCACATGGTCAAAGGTCTTGCGGTTAGTGAGGTCAAAGACTAACAGCCCTCCAACGGAATTACGGTAGTATGAAGTTGTGATGGACCTGGTGGGTAGACACATTTATGAAATATTAGTAAGTTAGTAAGTAAATAAGTAAGTTTAAAAGATGAGATAATGTAACATCTTTAAGGAAATATCTTGAGCCAAATGAGACTAACTCAAGACAAGCCAGGAGGTGTTGGCACAGTCTTGAGTCCATCCATCCATTATCGTAAGTGCTTATTTACTTATGGGGTCGAGGGGGAGACTGAGCCTCATCCAGTAGTCAATGGGCGAGAGTCTAACATGCAGGTTTTTGGATGGTGGGAGGAAACCAGAGAGAACCAACGCAGACACAGGGAAAACATACAACCTCCACACAGAAAGGTCCTGGTTCCCCCGGGGACTCGAACCCAAAACCCTATTGCTGTGAGGCGATGGTGCAAACCACCAAACCACTTTGTTGGGCCCAGTCTTGAGTTATGAATTAGGTTTTAGGTAATACAAGGCCAATAAAAATATTGTCAAATGTCAGTAAATGCAAACCCAATTTGGACTTATCTTATGTCAAGATAACTTCAGGATTAAATAGTTAATTACAACTGTTAGTAAATTTAGTAGGAAAATATTTTTTTCTTGAATAGTCAGTTAGAGAAGCTTGTGTGAATTCCCAAACAGTCAGCTACACGTTATAAATCTAGTTAAATAAAGGATTAAGCCACATTTTTTTTATGGCTTTTCCATCTAAGCAACTTGTCAGAGCCTCCCTAAACCATCCTCTTAATGAAAGTTCGCTTAACAAATTGGTGTAATACAACTACAAAAAGCCTCAGTTTTACATATTCATACTTGAGACTTTAGGATTCCACATTCAAGTTTAATATCAAGTCTGTGGTCTGTATCACTATACACTGTATACAGGTCCTGTATGGATTGTTTTGTTTTCAACATTTTAAAACAATATATTATATGGATAAAAAATATTGTTTTACCATTTCAGTGTGATAATAAAATCCATTGTTTTTAGATTTTCCCTGGATATTGGTTTGTGAATATTAAGAGATGGAACTGTAAGGGACCTGAAATTATTCGCAATCCACTGATACACTCATCTTTTCAAACATATTTAACTATTACTTTTGGGTGTTACATCTTCAATATGTAAATAGAAGCAGTATTTACTTGGATATTTGCTGCCTTTAGTTTAAAAAAAGTTACTGTGCATTAAGAATGGCTTTGTGATGCCCTTTGTGGTGGGGTGAAATTGCTAAAAAAAAATCAAGATTGAATATGGTTTTCACACATTCTTCTCAATTCTTTTCTGTTTCACCCTCTTCAACAAAAATAGGGTCCATCTACAACATGTTTTTGGAAGCCTGTACCAAAGCCCATCTGCACTGGTTGCATAACCACAATGCCTCACGCTCTATGGATTGAAAGCAGCGTGGGCAAATTTGCATGTATGTATACTGACATCTTCTTCTCGTGTAGTTTCTTTTATATTCTGATAGATCAACTGTTATTGTAAAAGGCATTAAAGACCTTTCTTAAACAGCCTAAAGGTACCATCTGGAATAATAACATGACAAATTTGTTTCATCACAGTATAAGAAGTACAATTAGATAACTGTAAGATGACACACATTTACTAATGATTTTGACACATGTACTGGTTGTGATCCATGCACTTCTCAGTCTGCTTAGATTTCCAAACATTTCCTGCAGCCAGAAGCATTGAGATGAAAATGAAAGACCAAAGTGTGGTGAAGCCTGAAGGAAAGTACTTCAAAAGGGAAAGCAGATTAAAGAGAGATCTACAAGTGGAACTGCCTCTGAAGATAGACACAGAAGTCCTTCAAAAGAAATCATTTCTGGCAACAGGGAGATTTAAAAAGCAGACACAGCAACAGGGTAGCTGAGTAAAAAATAAATTCACCTAAAGAATTCAGGCGCTGTTAAAGACTTATCCCTGTGTTGCCCTGGAGACCGAGGATTTGTGAAGCAAAGAATCACACTGAGGCCTATATATGAGGAGGCTGGCCATCATCCATGGATGAATGAATGATGCAGTTCGATATGCGCTGTTTTTACACATGCAAGGTCATCAATTAATCTCAGACCGACCTTTAACTAAACCCACAAGCGGCATGAAATTCCAGTGCGACGGTTAAATTCCTTAATTTAATTAACTGGGTTGTTTGAAAATGACATAAATGCCTACGCGAAACCAAAAGGCCTCTCCATTATTTAACGTGTATTGATATCTGCAGTTGACATCATTTGCTTATCAAATAGAAACAGTCTTGCCCAGATAACAGTGTTTGGTACCTGAATCGTTCCTGGCCGGCCGTGTCCCAGAGCTGGAGCTTTATCTTAACTCCGGGCTCAATATCAAGCGAACGGGCATAAAAATCGACCCCAACGGTTGGATCCGCCACATCGCTGTAAATTCCGTCCGTGAAGCGTTTCAACAGCGACGACTTTCCCACCGTGGAGTCCCCTAGAAGAATTATTCGAAACTGGTATTGCCACAAAATATCCATGGCATGACTAGAGAAATGAGACACAGCGGCGCGTGTGTGTGTGTTTGTGCGTATGAAACAAAGCCCCGTGTTTATATGGAGTCCTTGCTGCCGCTGCCTGGGGCTCGGGAAGAGACTCGAAAAACAGAGCGACCGCAGCAGTCACGTGATAGATTTACCTATGCTCCACAGCTCGTGATATCACGCCTATGAACGAATGATGAGCCGTTGTGATATGAAAGACAATTTGTTGGTTACTTAAAAGCACAGTTGGTTATGTTGACTCTAATTCAACCGCCTTTTGAAAATGTACGTTGATGTGAAATACTGTTGCTGGAATAAAAGAGTGACATTATCCATTATTATACTTGTACGAGACCTTGCTTAGAGTGTTATGCCAAAAGCACAATATACCTCATAGATCAGTTAGTGGTGTTGCTGTCCTTGGTCCTGAAGTAGGTTGAAGACAATTGTTGTCTGTGTAGGCTTTTCAATAGTTTTATTTCCTAACAGTAAAGAGTACAAGCATTTTTAATTTTCTCTCAAAAAGCAAGTATATTGGTGTGAAAATCAGTTGTAACGACAACCTGTATGATTTAAAAAAAAAAAACTTACAAGAAACTGGCACTGACAAATAGCATAAAAACAGAGAAAACAACATTTCCCTTCATGCAAAGTTTCCCATGTGATCTGGGCGGGACAATGAGCACGTGACTGTTAGACAGACCAGATATAAATACGGCGAGACGGCTTAGTTGTTCCCTTTTTACTTCTTGTCCTCCCAGAAAGAGACGGGAAAAAGGTGCCCGCTTGAGGTAAGGCCCCGACACCTTTCTTGTTTCATTAAAATATACAGCAAACATTAAAGCACATTGTTAAATGTCCTAGATGTTTTGCTTGTAAGGAGTTTAAATACTAATACTTGGAGTTGTAATTGACGTGATTGGACCTCTGGATAAATCCCTCCTACAAGCTAATGCCTCGATTTCACGCTAATTGTATACACATACAGTCCCCATAACACTACCTATGTTCTTGCATTAATAAATTCATTGGAATCTACAAATAAAATAAAACGGGAGCCAAGCTCTACCCGATAGCTTGAAAGCTAATACGGCTAAACCACGTGGGCTAAATTAGGCTTTACATTCCTTCGTTCAAATGGATATCCTATCTCCATATGCAACATTATTGAGGTACTATGGGGAATTTAGATTTTTACTTGTGAAATATATTATTGGTACAGATCCGGTAACTGGGGATGTGACGACTCTTCTACGTGAGAACAATACAAACGTTAATCGTATATTTCAGTATAACTGCGTGCATAACTAGGCCGCTGCTTCATGATACAGGCTCCTATCGAAGCCGTTCATGCTCTCATGTAGCAGGGAACGGTCAAACGGTGCCTAGATGAAGACTTCCACCGACGGTCGCTGTTCAGTTAAAAAAAAAATAACTGTTCAAGCAACATTTAGGGGAAGGACACTTGTACATGAAAGAATGAATACTGAAAAACTGACTTCTTCAAGCAAACTGATTCAGTGTGTTGTTCCTCCAGGTTTCCGGAGTCACCAAAGTTATAAAAGCAAACCATAAGGGCGATCCACACAGGTAAATTACCAAGCCAAGTGTTCAGACATTGTGCTGGCTATGATGACAAACTTGCCCTCACTGAGATTCCACATGATTGATTTTTGTATGCCTGAGCCGTGTCTCAATTTTTGTTGGGTTTTATTTTTTCTTTCCTGCAAACTAATTAGATGTCTTACCCTTTTTAGATGACGGAATGAGCTGAGAAAACATCACTTGCTGAATACAGTTGAAATTCAGGTATTGGCTTAGAAAGTATAAAGGTATTAAAGCATGTTATCCTAAGGACCAGAGCTTGTTTGTGGTTTATGGTTCTCCAAGTACATGCAAGAACATCGGGTGGTCTTTGACTGCTGTGGCTCCTTTCTGCCACTGGCAGCCACTCAGCTGTCCTACAGAAGATCTGTATGATGGCATGCTACACACATTTACTATAATTGCACAACTTGACACATACCACATATTTGATATTTTCTTTTCTTTCAGGAAGTCTTCGATGTGGATGCCAACACACTGACCCCCTGAAGGTGCGTGTGCTTAATAAAAATCGTACCATAGCTGACTCATTCTGATCCATGATGATTTTTTGAAAGTATAACGACTGTTGGATGAAGCTTGCGGATATGGGACTGAGATCAAACTTTTTCTAGTAGTGGAAAAAGTTGTTTTAAATAAAGTATTTAAAATATGGATTTTGCTTTTACAGGTCCAGCAATTTTGTGAAGAGGTGGTTTCTATGGAAGGAAAGGAGTTCGACCATTCAGCTGCTTAAATCAACTGACTCGGAATGTACTTTTGCAAACACTTTCAGAAATAAAGCTTTTTTTTTTATTTGGGAGTTATTTATTAACGGACATTATCCATACATGTTAAGCTTAAGGCCACAATACAATTTTCCTGGTGTTTATACTATGTGGCCATAGGCTGCCCATTTTGTGCATTGAAAAATATGCAGGGATTAGTTTGAACAGGTATGCAACAAATTCCATTAATACCCTTTACTCCATCATGCTGAGTCAATGCCAGGCAATTTCAGTTCCGCTATCTCTGAGTCAGGGGTGCTGCTGCCACTTTGATCACTGTACATGTCTCTGTAATTAAAGGGGGGGGAACAAAACGTTACTCTTTATATCTCCTCAGTTTGTAGACTAATGGATGTGTTTCTTTACCGTGGGGATAGACGGCATCCCTTCTGTAGGTAGCTCTGCAGTTTCCCTGCAGCGGCCAGAAGCAATCCGAGATATGGAGGCGATGGCTTGATGGGACGAGAGGTGAACTCTGGGTGGTACTGTACACCAACAAAATACGGGTGATCTGAAAGTCAAAATGAAAGCTAACAAACTGCTTACATGTAAAGACCTAAAAGGTGAAACTGGAGTTTGGTTTCCATACCATCAAGCTCTATAACCTCCATTCTTTCACCTTCCTCATCCTGACCTACAAAGCAGAAGCCTTTGTCTTCAAAGTGACCCTTCAGCTCAGGATTTACCTTTTTAAAAAGGATATGTACAAATTAAACCAAAAACATAGAATGAAATGAATGGACTGTGTTCAGCACTACCTCAAAGCGATGCCTGTGCCTCTCTTCCACATATTCTGCATCTCCATATAGTTTACCTGGAGTACAGAAAAGCTGTGAGTGCAGGAACAGAAGAAAACTGCTGCCTCGGAGAGACTGAATTTTTTTCTCACGTAGGACACTGTTGCTGCTTTTGAAAATGGTCCGTCTCTTTCCCAGTCTCATGGTGCCACCCATCTGCCCAGGGTTGTGCTCTGGCATGTCAATCACCTGCCGTGTCATCAAATATTGGTTAAACATGGTAAATCATACTGCAGTCAGACCCCATTGTGAGAAAACGTACGACGGGATGCTTTGATTCTGGATCAAATTCAGTTGAGTTGGCATCTACAAGAGAAGAACAATGATACATGGTTACTTCTTGAGTTTAAACAGAATTGGTACAGCAAAATTATAAAATTGACACCTGTTTTTCCTCAACCTTTTTCTACGGTCTTTTTTGAGTAGAAAAGGAGCAATTGGTTTGAATTCAGTGTTTTGCAGGGCAGTTTTCGCAATTGGAGAGCATTAGAATTTACCTTTCCAGTCAAGCACGTTCCTGGCAAACTCGCACACAGCCAGCTGCATTCCAAGACACACACCTGTAAAGAAACAAAAACATGAGAGGTTTGTGCTGATGCTTTTTAAAATTTTTAATAAGTAGGAAATAAATATAGTTGGGTCTCCTCTAACGTTTATTTAGTTCCCTTATACCATTTCAGACCATCATCCACAGTAACACAACCAATACATTTTCATATTATACTTTACATAATATTGCTAAAGATGCCAACCCTTTAACCAGTCCACTTAGTTTGTCTGGAATGTTAGTTAAAAGCAGCTAGTTGGAAAAAATCTTAGACTTTTTCTAGCAGAACAAACATGTGGAGATACAGCTGGCAATTAAATCTGTTCTAAATTAGGCCCATATCTTTTCTCTAGATAGGTGTACTTATCACAAAATGTATGAGCTCCAAGTGGTGTGGGACAACCAATCAAAAGCTATCTGAAGTCCAGAAAAGCCAGTTTTTATCAAACAAAAACTGAGCCTGAGCAGGAGGGCACCACTGCTAAGTCACTAACTTTATTAGCAACCCTGAAAGGGACTAAACGGGTATGGAAAACGGATGAATTTTGAATATCAATCTGTATGGGGAAGTTGGAGGCAAAAAGATCCCAATTGGATCTAAATCAGGTAAATAAGAAAAAAAGAATCCAAAGAATCTTGGTTGGCGGAGTTAAATCATTGACTTTCCTGATGGGAATCTATGTTACATCGGTTTTCTGAGCTAATTTTTTTTTTCCAATTTTGAAAGATTAACCAAGACCGACGACCTAGGTAGCTTCTTAGGTATAGCCATCACTTACCTAAGAAGGGTTTTTTCTGTTTTCTGGCCCAGTTGATGGCATGAATCTTCCCCTCGGTTCCTCTGACACCAAAGCCTCCCGGAACCAGGATGCCACTGAGGACAAAAGAAAAAAAACATTCTCTAAAGGGGCTTTTCATCCACACAGTAAACACTCCTCTCCTGTAAAACTCACTGTGCGCTGCAGAGCTTTTGCCAAGCTTCATGGTACTTAACAGGGTCCTCCTGCAGGGTGTTTGGCTCCAAATAAGCAGAATCTATATACTATGAACAAAGGAAGAAAATATTCACACTTATTGTGGTGCAACCACAATTAAACAAATGGCAGATGTGCATGACAACATAAACCGAATTACAATGACACTGCTTCTAAGTAGCTTTGTTTCCCTTAAGCCTTCATCCATCATTCATCTGCTTTTTGAGGTGTCTGATATCTGCTGTAGTTTACTTTGGTTTCTTGCCTCTTTCCTGACTTGTTTTGAAAGTATTGCACTTTATATACACATATAACTTTATGCGTCTCCCTTTGCCTCAGAGCTCAGAGACCATGCATCTATCTTTACTTTAGTTTTGAGTGAAACAAAGCTATTGATATTGAGATAATCTACCATGAAATAATTAATTGAAACAGGGCTTTAATGTGAACATATTAAAATGATTCAGAAGCCAAAAAAACATAGCACGGGTTGATACATCATAGGGCAACCACTTGGTGGCAGCACGAGCAGATCCCAGTCAACAAAAAGATTCAGGGAACACACAAATTATTTTAAAGAAATACATCTATTTTCAAGTGAAACAACTGCAGAAAGGAAACAAATTGGTTGGAGTGCAGGTTCCAGTTTTTTAAATATTTCAGTTTTGGAATCACAGACAATGGCTGATTCAAGTTTCATATGATAAAGTGTATCAGAAAACATTTATTTAAATAGATTGCCCAACAAATAATTTGCCATAGTCTACAGTAAGATTAAAATTTATTTCAAAAATGGGATATATCTTCAACTGCAAGCATTGTACACTTATTAATGGTCTAATTAAATGTCTATTTATAAAAGAGGCCAAATAAATATTAATAAAAGTTCCTTTTTGAGTTTGCGTCTAAAGCCATTTCAGATCTGCCTCTTAGAATGGACATTTTAAAAATTGTATTAATTAATTTGTAATTCATTTGTTTCGAATGTCCTTGTTTTCAAGGTCCGCTTCTTGATTTGGCCATTTATTCCCCAGGCTTGCTTAAGTTTAAATGCGCTGACTGAATGACAAATGATTACCTGCTTATTAGAACGTCATTAGGGCTGGGGGAGAGGGGTGTTTGCGCTGGTCCTGACAAGCGCAGCAGCTGTTGCAATGCATGCTGGGAATTGTAGTGTGAGGGTTGGGACAGCTGTTGACCGAAAGGCCATTATCAATAAATACAGAAAATTGTCTCATGAGTCTCCTGTTCTTGCAGGCGTTTGTGGCCCCTTGGACCTTGTCTTTGACATATGTGTGTCAAAGGGGCTCAAAATAATCCATGTAATAATAGAATGAACCCTCCTTCATACTTGGTGTAGGGTTTGACCAACCAGTGACATCCACTCATATCCAATTTGAGCTCATGTTATTTCAGAGGCCACGCCAACTTACCTCACACCATAACTAAGCATAGCTGGATAAATATGAAAGGAACAGACATATAAACAAAAAGTAGACAATCATCCAAATGTGACTGTGATTAAGGCGCGTCATGACACTGCACATACCTTAACCTCCAATTTATGGCTAATGGCCAGTGCAGAGTGCTCCAGAGCCTTTATAACAGAAGCATACGAGTCTGAGAACTTTGTGTACTTTCCCACCAGAGCTATAGAGCAGTGTTCCAGCAGTCTGTCTGACCTTTAACGACAACACAGGAATTAGAATGATATTTGATCTTCTCTGGAGTGCAATGACCCAATCTCATAAAAAAAAATTAAAAACATAAAAGAGACTTTTAAACTCACATTAGTCTTTTAATCTTTTACCTTTTCTGATGACTCACCTGTCCGACATCTCCTTCCACTTTGTCAGCATTTTCCTGGGTTTAGTCTCAATGGGCATATTCAGTCTCTTGCTCAGGTAGCTCACCACCCCCTGGTCCTCCAGCAGTAAGGGTACTCGGTAAATGGACGACACGTCGTGCACACAAATGACCTGGAGCAACATCGACAAGAAAGTTAAGAGCTGCAGACACAACCAGGGGATGGGCTTCATCAGTGCCATTTTACCTACCTGTTTCGGTTCCACATGGCAGAACATTGAGATTTTCTCTTTGACAGAATTCTCCAAAGCAGTGGAACAGCGGCACATGATCTGTTGGCAAAAACAGGATTACATTTTAATGAAACGTTGGGGAGGATGGGGTCATTGCAGGAGGAGGAAGACAATTGAAACAAAACAGAGGGGAAACAATTGTTGGAATGTACTGATTAAAAATACATATTTTGAAATACTTCAGTAATACGTTCATCATGTGTACTGTAGTGGAGACAGGCCATTCCCTTTTCCTAATAATACAGGGTCTGGCTAATATGGCTCTTTCTTTTAAACAGTCTTCCGCACAGAGGTACACTAACCATGTTTCCTTTTTTCTTTATTTCTAAAAAACAGAAAACTGTTTTTTTTTTAAACTTTTTTTTGTATGGTGATCGTTTGTAGTTCAAGCATGTGTGTACTTTTTCCATCATAGCTACCAGATTTTGGCTTATCATCTAAAAGCAAAACAATCTAAAAATGCTGACCTGAATGTGATGTATTAAAAAAAAAACAGCACCTAACACTCTTTATGCACTCGTCACCTGCTACCCTCTGTTAAAAAACTCTAACCGTGGAAAGAAAAACACACTTGTCAAATCCACATTGCGTATTTGGAAACAGTTCTGTATTCACTTGGGAGTGAAAACACCATCTCTTGTTTTGCAACTCACCAACAATCCCCTGCCCCCCCCCCCCCCCCTCTATGGAGCCTGGTGCTTTCTGGCTATGGTACCAGAAGGCCCTAACCATAGGGAATGTTTGTAGATGTAAATTTGCCACTTTTGAACAGCTAGTGGAGAAATGTGAGCTTCCCCGCACATAGCACACATTTTTTTAAGTACTTACGACACTTTTATAGAAATGTATTCACGGATTTTCCAACAATGCCTGCAGAGATCTCAATCAATAAGATTTTTCAGTTGCACCTCTTGAAAAAAAAAGGCCTTGTATCCACACTGTATACAATTTTCTGTGTTCTCATCCTGACTAGTCACTTTTAACCCTCTGGTCCCAAGATCTGGGGACAGATCTGATGCTGGCCTGGGGGTCTATTCTTGGCCGTGTCCACTCATTTTCAGTGTTTGCTAAGCATGGGGTAATTCAATGTAAGCTTATACACCATGTGTACTGGACGAAGGCTAAAATTTCTCGTGTTTATCCCAATACTGATCCATTTTGTCGCCAGCACCGTGGGACTCAGTGCCCATCCCTATATGCCTACTGGTGTTTTGTATTCTCTTCTGTCTCAGATGTGCTGAAGACACATTTAGAGCCATGTCGGCTTGCGGCCTTGTTTGGAATCCTTCCTAGCACTGTCAAAATATCCAGGTCTAAATCAGACTTTGCAGCATTTTTTTTCTCTTAGCTCAGAGGTTAATTTTGATTTACTGGAAGGCTAGACATCCTGACATGTTTTCCCGTGTATATGTAGCTGGCTCTCATGGTATTCCGATTTCCTCAGAACCAAACACGTAAAACATTATCTTGCCCAATGACAGCTGGGATAGCATCAAGCACCCTTAGTGACCATAAAAGGAATAATTTTGTATGTAAAATGGATGAGTGCAATTCTACTCCACTATCCAGGATACCATAGAGGACCAAAACTGACTAAATTAAGACGCAAACATCAATCCATCCATCCATTTTCCACCGCTTATCCGGGGTCGGGTCACGGGGGCAGCAGCCAAAACAGGGAAACCCAGACTTCCCTATCCCCAGCCACTTCTGCCAGCTCCTCCGGGGGGATCCCGGGGCATTCCCAGGCCAGCCGGGACACATAGTCCCTCCAGCGTGTCCTGGGTCTTCCTCTGGGCCTGGTACTCCTCACCAGGGAGGCGATGAGGAGGCATCCTAATCAGATTCCCGGGCCACCTCAACTAGCTCCTCTGAACGTGGAGGAGCAGCGGCTCTACTCTGAGCCCCTCCCGGATGGCCGAGCTTCTGACCCTATCTCTAAGGGAGAGCCCAGCCACCCTGAGGAGGAAAGTCATTTTGGCCGCTTGTATCCGGTATACAAACAGTATCCCGGATACAGTAAGCAAACAGTAAAGAAATTTACAAATTGGCCAATACATAAAGCTATACACTTCAAGTGTATTAAAAAATATATATATTTTTAACAAACAGTTCACAATGCAAATACAATTTTTTTTGTTTAATATATTAATTCAACAACATGTTTTATGTTTTCATTAATCTTGACATTTTTTGTCCATTAATATCCAACACATTATTTATTTCTACATTTTATTTTAATAATACTATCTTAAATTTTTTCCATTAATTTTTCTTTTATTTGAAGAATAATTCATGTCTATATTTTTTCCCCCTTTCATTTTCTTACCTTCTCCATGGCTCTTTCAAAAGGCTTTTTTATTCATTCTTTCGACATTTACCCATCTATTGGTTTTTCCTATTCCTTACGCATTTCTGCCTCATTATGAAAATATGTGTAGTTGTGGGGGGCGCTTTGTCTTGGAGCCGCTAAGGGAAGCTCCAAAAAAATTAGCGCAGACATGTGAAAACGATCTGCACGACCTGCACCCATCTTTTGAAAAAGGAAACAGAACCTGATGAACTTTGAACTAGATCAAAATTGAAAAGGAACTTTTTTTGTATCTGTTGGAAGTGAACATTGAACTAGATCAACATTTAAATGATCAACTATGATTTTTAACAATTCTCTTTTTAACCTGTGGGGCTAGTCATGAGAAGCATGACGAGAACAACACTCAATATAACAACGTAACTCACCAGGTCAGGAGAAAGGCCGAGGCCTCTCAGCTCTCTGACACTGTTTTGGGTGGGCTTGGTCTTCTGCTCTCCAGTTGCGCTGGGCTGCACAAACACATTTTGACACACACATAAAGATTCTGCTATGGACATGTAAGTGTTTCACTCTGTTTCAAAGGATTCTGTGAGGGATTTGGCATCTCACCTGTGGTATTAGACTGACATGAATATTACAGAAGTTCTCTCTCTTCACTTTAAACTGAAACTGCCGGAAAGCTTCTATAAAAGGCATGCTCTCAATGTCTCCAACAGTGCCTCCAAGCTGCAAACACATATAAACGTCACAACAGCTTCTTAATAAGCATTATTTGCTAAAAACAAACAAATAAGCCATTGAATATATGGAAAATCAAAAAAGCAGTGTTTCATGGAATACCCATATTATCAAAACTCATGTCTTTTTGGCATCGGTAGTCAGGGAAAGAGGAAAAATGTCATGACCATTGGATTTTGCATTTGACTGGCTGTTTTTAGCTAACAGCTTCCCCAAACTCACTGTCAGGGGTGAGGCCTGTCTCACTTCTTCAGAACACTGTTCAAAATTTTAGGAGCATAAAATGGAAACGCAGCCTCTCCTTCTTTGGTCCTGACCATGGGAACCATCCGAGGTTGTCAGAGTCTGAGCTGGTTCATTCAGCTCTAACACTCAATGTACTTCAGCGCTAGACAATGAAGAGACTTGTACACAAGCAGAGATTTTTTTAAGGCTCTGAGCAACAGGAAGCCAGTGGACAGACCTGAGTACTGGAATAATATGGTCATATTTTCTGGTTCTAGTCAGAACTCGAGCAGCAGCATTCAAAATGTTCTGCGGCTGTCTTACAGCTGTTTTAGAGCAGTGAGGCTCAGGAGCCCCTGAGGGGGGACACATTTCCAGAAATACAATAAAAATTGAAAAATAATTAGAAATAGCATATTTTAGCCATAGTTGTAACACAAGATATAACTAGTGGCTAAATTTAAAATACAACCAAGCAAATACATCTTATTTGGTTAGTGACATCCGACCTGGAGGACGCATTGCTTGAACTATCAAGCGACTGAACCTTGAAGATAGCGTTTATTTCTAAGACGCTGGCCAAGTTTTGGAATTTAGTTGAGAGAATACCCACAGCTATCCAGGGCGGCTTTGGATATGCTGATGCCGTTTGACACAACCTACATGTGCGAAAAGACTTTCTCAGCACGGATGTACCTTAAAAATAGATACAGATTGCGACTGAATGTGGAGGATGATCTCCGAGTAGCGGTCTCCAACATTAAACCATGACTGGCCTTGCTGAGCTCCAAGCATATTGCACATCCATCTCATTAGGTGAGTTTAAGTTTAAATTAAAGTAATGAGTAAATTACTGGAAAATAATATTATTGCTGTCGTGTTATTTTGTGTTGTCAATATGCTCGTGTTTGGATACGACTATAGCGCGTGTGTGATTGCGTGCAATGTTTATATACGTTTATTGTCGGGGGGTTGCAAGTCACTTGCATCATTGCTTTGCGGGTCGTGGGCTGAACGTTTTGGGAACCCCTGTCATCTAAGGGATAAATGCATGGGTTCCTAGGTCAGAATCACTTTGCTCTGATTCTGGCAATGTTTTTTTAGATGGTAAAAGACTGCTGATGTTATTGATTTAACGTTGCTGTTAAAGGTCAGGTCTGAGTCCAGTATTACTCCAATATTTCTAACCTGATAATTAGGTTTAAGAGAGAGACCCATTCAGTCTGAGAGTTACCAATTTCAACAAAGTAACACCTGTCCTCGAGATAGGAATTGAACCACTTTAAAGAGACACCAGAGATGCCCAACCATTCTTATACCCTCTATAACAGGGTCACATGGTCAACCGTGTCATAGGTGACACTCAGTAAGGCAGAACCAAGACCGAGACTTTGCCTGCGTCTAGGTTCAGGCAGATATTGGTGGTCACCTTGATCAGAGCTGTCTCAGTGCTGTAGTATGGCCTAAAAGCCTGACTGGAAATACAAACACATTGTTAGAGAGGAGAAAGTCAGTACGTTGTTTGTATACTTTTTCTTGTTCAGTACTCTGGTTGCTCCTCTTTAGAAGAAGTTTCAAGTAACTTGTCAAGACAGCATGCTGGTGGGCATTAGGTGCAGTGTAGTTATTTGTGTTGTGGAAATTATTGAAATTTTTCAATGTCCTGAACGTTGTCATTAAATTATATTCCATACTCATTACTCTTCTATGTAAAACTTAATTTTAAGGGCAGTGAAACTGGAGGGTCCGTTAGTCTTAACAATAGCAACAAGACAAGACATCTTACTGTGGTTTTTGATTATTCCAGAAAAATAACTTGTTTCAGGCAAAGTCTGGGTGAAACAAAACATTTCTTTGTAGATCTCATAATGCACTTGGAGTTTTCTCTTGACTTTCATCAGCTCTGCAGCTCTCCCTTTTCTATGCCCTTTTTTTCTATGCCTTTTATCTACTTTTAACCATACTCATTTTGAAGGGAGAAATGGCATCCAAAACATTTACAACACTTAATGTGTCAGAATTCAACAGATCATCAACATTAGAATACAGAGTATTTTCAAAACAATAATTTCCATAAACTTTGTCCCTACATTCATGACTTCTCCCTGAACAACTGCAGACCCAACTGCTGGTTAAGTGTTAAATTGTCTAAATTCTGGCCCTTTAATTGCACCTGGCTTACCTCTATCACACACACTTGAGGTTCCACTTGATCATCGACTGGCACTTTGGCCTGCTTCACAACCCATTCTTGGATTGCATCCGTAATGTGTGGCACCACTGGAAAAGAGCAAAATGCAAACATGTTCTAACATTTACATCTTCAGCGTGGCTTCCCCCCTTTAAAACCAATAATAAAGGTTTACCCTGCACTGTCTTGCCCAGATAGTCTCCTCTCCTCTCTTTATTGATGACTGACTGATATATTTTCCCTGTGGTCAAGTTGTTATCTTTAGTCAGTCGGATGTCCAGGAAACGTTCATAATTCCCAAGATCCAAGTCCACCTCGCCACCGTCATCTAGGACGAACACTTCACCTGGATATAGTCAGCACAAATTAATCAAACTACTTGCACAAAATCACATGAGTTTATGATACAGATTTCTATTCACATACCATGTTCATAAGGTGAAAAAGTGCCCGCATCTATGTTGATGTAAGGATCAATCTTGATGGCCGTTACATGCAAACCACACGACTTGAGGATTGTGCCCACACTGCTGGCGATGATACCTTTGCCAATACCAGAGATGACTCCACCAGTTACCAGGATGTATTTCATCATTCTGTTCATTTACCTGGACACAGGCGATGGATTTAACCCAATTAGGACAAATGTTGAAGTCTATTCAAACGATAAAAACAGTTTTCTACTTGGTTCTGGCACTAATGTCCCAGATACAATTAGGTAAACACATAAACGCTAAAACAATTCTTAATGAAACCTGGATAGAGCGGCAGCAGCCTCAGTCGAACAGTTTATCATCACCTGACATGACCAAACTTCACTTGCTGATCTAATTAAAGCACAATGAAAAACTCAATATATGGACTTTGGCATATGGAATCTTATCACCACAATGTAAATCGTTTGTGGATACTAAGCAAGGCTGTATCATAACAAACAATCCAAAAGTAAAACGTACTTTGGACATAGTATAAGGACTTTTAATTTCGAATAAGAAATTAGGTAACACAGAAGGCAAGTAGCGTCAATGCAAACAGTCAACTCTATTTCTTAAAACAACATCTCCATTTTAGAGGCGATGAGCATCATGTAAAGGTTTGAGGGACACACGTCACTTTAAACCTCTCTCTAAAAAGAGACACCGCTACGCCAATTAATATTCTTCTTCTTCCGACTCTATTGGCGGTTAGTAAGGTGATCGGTCACCGACATACAAGCTAAGTGGGGTGGTGATTCTGTGCTCAATTGAGAACGACTGACCAAAATGTGCTGAAACGAACGGCCCGCCCAAGACAATAGAGAGTTAAAGCAACGAAACCATACATTATATCGGCCCACGAATTACTGTCGGGCTACTAAGCCAAGCTTAATTATGAGCGTATACAGATAACTGCTACATTTAACATCTTCCTTGTTTTTGTTAATCCAATTTGATGGTGAGTAAATGTTTTTAAAAAGCTAGCAGACTTACATCTTACTAAAACACAGTTAGCAAAATAAAAGTAACGTTTTCTATAAAAAGGAAAAACGTCGAAAGAAGTTTAGTACGTTTACTTTAAATGGCCAGTTTATACATGGTTTCATACAGGTGTAGCTAAATATTTAACAGCGTACCTAACATTGTCTTTTGTAGTTGCAGAACTATTTTATTTGGACTCATTTTCACCGGATGTTCCGCGTACTTAGCATGTGTACCTTGACGAAAACGTTGTTAGCCAACAGCTTCTATGTACAGCATCCGATTTCAACTTACCAAAATATTCCAGGTCACCCTCTTGAAACCAATTGTTAGCGAAGAAAACGGCCACAAAATTTTGGCATGAAACCAGCTCACGATTGAAACTCCTTCTAACAGTGCTCATCGACTCTCAGATGGGCTGTAGACGAGTATCGACCACGATTCAGCGTGCTTTACACAATTCTCTACCAAATACGACAACACAGCGGTACCTTCATGTACGCCTCGGAAAAGGATGTGATCCACGTGGGTCGGTTTCTACATTAACATTCAAAATGGTGTAGCTCTGTCCACTTTAAGCGTCCTCTAAAGCAAAACAACACACTGTTGATATTTTTGCAAAGTAACACATACATACATTTATTATTTTTTCCCCCAATGTTTAGATGGGTTTTTAATTTTTAACAATTAAAAATAAATTGTTATAATTTGGCTATAATTACTCATTTTAGTGTTGTATACTATAACATAATCTATGTAAATTACTGATAAGGGTTGTCAAAAGTATCGATACTCGAAAAAGTATCGATACTAAAATGTTGTATCCGGATACAATACTCATTTACAAAAGTATCGATACCACCGCGCGAGCCCGTGCGAGCGCGCGCACGACGCTGACCTGCCGTCGCTGCGCCCCTTCTCTCTGATTTATTTATGTATTTATTTACGTTGTTTATGATCATTAACAAGACGTTAGCCTTGCTAGATGCGGCTAATGGCTAATAATAACATGCTATCATTAATCAAGTACATATCCAACTCCGCCCACATGCAAGTCGGCCATTTTTATTAGGTCACTAATCCCAGATCCCAGGTAAGAAAATCCTAATTGCTTCATGGCAATATAGACATTAATTTAGAAATATTTAAATTAATCTTTCAAACACTTAATTAAACTCTATACATATTATGTTAAAATAGTGTATATTAAATCGGTTTTTAAGTAATAAGTCCCAAAAAGTTTAACCAAAAAATATTTATTTCTCACAATTATGAAGGCCGGAGGGTTAGGGTTAGGGTCAGGGTTATTAATGTGGGCCCCCAGTCACGATAACATCAGTAACAGGTCAGTTTGAAATGACACAATTCAGTTCAATTTTGGGGTCTTTGTTTTTATCCTTGTGGTATCGAAAATGGTATAGAGTATCGAGTATTTTCCTGAGTATCGGTATCGAGTTGAAAATTTTAGTATTGTGACAACCCTATTACTGATTGTTTTATTCCTTTTAAAACTATACTTTTGTATTAAATTCTATGGCTATAACCATGGATTCTCTTTTCTCTCTTTTTCTCTCTCTGTTGCATTTGATCCACTAGAATAATTTCAGGCCTACAATAAAAAGGTAAGCAGAATACCTTTTCTGCGTGAATATTCTGCTCATTGGGCATACCAAAACATATTGTCTGAACAAGATATCTTTGTGATGGGTAAAATATAATGTTGTTTAAGGATAAATTGTGAGAACTGCTCTGAAATTATTGACATGGTCACATGTAAAGTATAAACTTGTAGTCTCACGTGAGGGAAAGTACACACGTGTCCTTTTCTAGTTTAAGGTTTAAATATTATATATGCTTATAAAATTAATGGGAAAAGCCCGTTGCCGGGAAAAGCCCTTTGCCGAACAGTGCATAACAATACCGTCCGATGTATATGGTAGATATATGTGTACATAGAATAACGGTATTACTATTCGTCTAAATAAAAACTGTTTATGATGACACAGGGATAAGTTTTTTATTTTCAATGCAAATGTGGGGTGGATTCCTACTTGATTTATATCCTTACTGTGTGTGTGTGTCAGCATATTTGACAGTGTAGGCTGTTCAAGAATTCCTGCACTAATACACATCTCAAGTAGTTTTTATGTACAGGGGTTTGGAATAGATTAATAGGGGATATTCTAGTTAAGGACAAAAGTAATGCAAAGAAAAGGGATGTTTGGAAAGCATCCCTCCCAAGTTGAGTGATTTTGCCACATTTAAGAAGCAGACCTCATCCACTTGGGAAATAGCCACAGCATTGTTTGATGAGGCAGGCCTGCTGCAGAAAGGGAAGTGATAAGACAGGCAAAGGAGTTCTTGATTGACTGTCAATGTTTTCTTAGTGAAGTTAAATTCTCAATACGCTCAATGTCTTCCGTGCAAACCTCAAAGCAACCACTATTTACGACCTTGCATCCTCCTGAGACACAAACGTCTGTAGTACCTGACAGGAAAGAAGCTGAACAGACCTTCAACTCTTCCCCTTTAACATCTCACGGTCCTCCCTATGAGGCAAACGAACATCAGTCAAAAAGGGGAGACTAGGAGAACTACAAACAGAAAAGTTTTGATGTACAAGCTCTGCTCACTAGCTTTTTTTATTTATCATTACCAGGTGAGAATCAAAAGAAAGTGTGTAACGATAAAATAATGATGTGAAGAGTGTCTTTCAACAGGTTACAACTTAACAAAAGCTCAGGAGCACACATCTCCTGTCGGCGCATCAGATCTGGATTCTGTGGAAGATAAGGAAGCTTGGTTTGTCCACCCCCAGGAGGAAAGTAAATCAAATTGCAAAGGCTACAATGAAAGAAGATAAGGCTGGCAGAAGACAGATTTAACCATCTGGATCCAAACTGTGCACGTTTAAGATTTTTCAGAAAGACCCATGACTGAGGTTCAGACTGATATGAGAACCTCACTGTCAGTGACTTAAACTGGAAACTTTACCACAGATTGGACAGACCCCAACTGACAAAACTTTAAAATGACTCAATTTTGGAGACTAGGTTTCAGTACCCGGGTACCTGTATTTTTTTGTTATTGATCTTTTTTCAAAAATATGTTGTCCTTTAAATAAGCTGCCTCTGTCTTCTTTTGGATAAATGAGCTGGTGTGTTTTCCAAACTGTTTGTGTGTTTGTTGTGGAAATTCTGAAGCAAAGGTCTGAGTCCTTTTAAGAGAATAAGAGATAAAAAAATGTATTAAAGGGAAAACTTCTTGAAGTAGTCCGTGGGCCAGAATCTGTACGACGTGTCCTTAAGCAATTCCGTTTGAACTTTTAGGGGGCCACTTTCTTTCACTTGGATAAGTTGCTAGAGACTACAGTGATCTTAAAACGCCAATGTTCCCATCCTTTCACTTGCACATTAATAAGTTATAGTCGATTAAAAATATAATTTGTTACGCCGTAATCTAAGAAATCGCGAGATTCGAGTTTTGCCCATCAGCCAATGAGATGGCTGAATCTCAGCGCGGGACTAGCTTCCGGGTGCCAAACTTTTCACTCAGAGGTACAGTCGACAGAAAACATTTGGTTAAAGAGCGGTTTGACATAAACTGGTTTGTGACTGGATCGAGATGAACATACAGGTAGGAGATGGAGAAGATGAAATGGAATTTGATGATTGGACCCCAGTTGATAGAGGTAAAGGGAGAAGGGATAAAACAAATATGAGGCAAGGTATGGAGGCAAGAGCACTTGTTAGCCAGAAAAATAAAAGAAGTTTGGAGGGAAGTAGTTCAGAGGAGGATAACCGGATGATTCGAAGGAAGGTAGAAAGGGAAGAATTTAAAATAATACTTAAATTCAGGAAAGAAGATGAGCAGATCAATTTAAGCCCAATTGCGCTAACTAGGGAGCTAAAAAAGAAGATAGGAGAAGTGGACATGGCTAAAATTCTTCGGGATGGGAATTTATTGGTAAAATGCAATACTGAGGAACAGAGAAATAAAGCTTTGCATATTGAAAGTATTTGCAAAAAGATTGTGATGGAAAGGAGAGTTCTGGGTGAGGACAAAGTGTCTCGAGGAGTGATAACTGGCATTCCCATAGGTGAGGATTTAGAAAAAATTAAAAGAAGTATTCATGGAGGAGAGGTGAGAAGACTAAAGATATTGTTAAGAACAGTGAATGGTGAAAGAACTGAGAGTTTGTCGGTTCTTTTGGAGTTCCAGGATTTGACACTTCCAGAAAAAATTAAAATTGGATGCATGAGTTTCCCAGTCAGGCCTTATGTTCCTCCTCCTCTGCGTTGTTATAAATGCCAGAGATATGGGCATATTGCTGTGGCGTGAAAAAAGGGAAACAAAGGTGTGCTAAGTGTGGTGGAGAGCACAGATTTGAGGAATGTGGAGAAAATGTTCAGGCTAAGTGTTGTAACTGTGGGGGTCAGCACAATGTGACTTATGGGGGGTGTGAAGTCAGGAAGAGAGCAGTAGAAATTCAACAGGTTAAAATAGTCAACAATATTAGCTATGCTGAAGCGGTAAAGACAGTACAAGGACAAAAGGGGAAGGCAGAAACAGAAATAAACAATAAAAATTCAAGATCAGATGAAGGTCAGAGTGGACTAGCTTTAAGGTTTAAAGGAATAGATGTAGACAAGTTGGTTTTGTTTGTTGCATATGTGATAAACTGTGAGGATCAGGTTAGACAAAAGACTGAGAAAATTAAGATAATTGTGAAAGCAGCCGAAACATTTCTTAACATGAAAGATGTAACTTGGGAACAAATCAATAAAAGACTGGAAGAAATCGGGAAATCAGGGGTCCTAGGGGAAAGGACTTAGTTTGAATGTTTATCCTTCAATGGAATGCAAGGAGTTTGATCGCAAACGGACAGGAATTTAAAGGATTTATTAATGGTCTTCGAAAGAAACCAGACATTATCTGCATTAAAGAAACTTGGCTTAAACCAACATTAGATTTTGTAATTAAAGGATATGATAGAATACGTAGAGATAGGGTAGAGAAAGGTGGGGGAGGATGTATAATATTTGTGAAACAAGAAATACAATATAGAATATTACAGATAGGAAAAGAATGGGAAATGATAGTGCTTGAAGTTTGGACGAAAGATGGTTTAATCAAAATAATAAATTTTTACAATCCTTGCAAAAAGTTGTCGTTAGAATTGTTGGAGGAATTAGGGGTACATTTAGGTGGGAAAATTATTTGTTGTGGGGATTTTAATGCTCATAGTACGTTATGGGATAGATATAATGATAATAATGGAGAAGTTATTGAGGAATTAATGGAAATTAAAAACCTAGTTTGTCTCAATGATGGAAAAGATACAAGAATTCAATTCAATTCAATTCAATTTTATTTATACAGCGCCACATCACAACAACAGTTGTCTCACAGCGCTTTCCAAACAGAGCAGGTCAGACTCTACTCTGAAGTTAACTACAGAAACCCAACAATTCCCACCATGAGCAAGCACTAGGCGACACAGGCAAGGAAAAACTTCCT